GGTGATGTAGCAGCTTTCCCACTGAAGGTTTGCTATTCTTGAGTTGAGTCGTTATCAGTCATTTTCAATATGAAATCACGTGCTTATAAAAAACCGAACAGATATACAATCGTGTTGCTCGAGTTGAACATGTGGATCATGCTCGTCGCTCTGCACATCATTGTGTGAAATCATTACTCAGTGCACAAACCCACGCGTATGTTTTGTCTTCAGTTTTGGTAAAGCATTTCTTTTTTTTCACTCCTGGTATTTGAATATTCTTTTTCGATGGTTTTCAGGTATGATTATCTTCCATACTTCTACTCAAGGGTGTTTGAATATGAAGGGAGCTCCAGGAAAGTTTGGTGGCAATTTTTTGGAGACAATGGTAAACATCAACTTCAATAATATATCATTGCCTGGTCTTTTTATGAAATTTCAATCGCTTATTGCTCTTAATGACGATTTTGCTTTGGACAGTTGGGGAAACAGTTGAAATTGGGAATTTCGATCCTAAAATTGCTACATTCTGGATTGAATCTGGTAATTGGTTTATTTACTGTCTTTCCATCGTGTGTGTGGGTGTTGGGTTGTACCTTTGTATGAGTGTATAAAAGGGTAGTTTGTAAGCGTGCGTGCATTCTGTTGTGGTAGTTTGATAACACTTTCTTGCCATGACTGGCTGTGACTAAGAACGTGGAAACTTGATACCTCGCAGGCAAGCTAAAAGGAGTCCTCCTTGAAAGTGGGAGCCCTGAGGTACTTAACCGCTCTATCCTCAACGATACTAATATAGTTGAAATAATTAAACTAGATTTACGCAGTAATTTGCTCGCCACACTGGAGCTAGTTTATGGGAAGTTTGTCTTGTATTTTGAAATTAAAAATTGGGACCTTGGAATGTGTAAAGAGAGCAGTGCTGATTGATTAGAAAGGCACTGATAAATGATAATCATAGAGAACCATTCCTGCTATATTGGGTCGCGTGTCAAATCATACCCGGAAAACTAATGGGGTGTCGTATAACTCAGGAATTTCAGCTGCTGCCCAAACTTGCCAGAAGTCAGCCTGTAGTTGATAAAGCTAAACTTGAAAAGGCATCTTCAGTGGAGGAGTCCCTAGCCATTGTTGGGGCATCCTTGGGTTGAAGCTGCAATGTTCGTCCAATTCTGGTGCAACATCCATTCTGTATCCCATCTTTTACGGCTGATGCCAGTGATTATCAGCCAATCATACTGGGGATCACTCCTCTGAGGGATGTGATCTTTCATGCCAAATATGTCATTCGAGGGGACCTGACGCCGTGGGGCGTCTCCGAAAATCCTTAATAATTGAGTCTTCCTGTTTTCAACGTCATTTTTGTTCTTCATAGCTGTTGAACGCTTACAGGGACACCAAATTCCAAATAATGTATAATTTGCACAGTATCTGTGATCAGTTGGGCTCTAATATTATCTAGTTGCCTCATTAGCTGGGAACTATTTCACACGGATTAGTAATGCCAGGTAATTAATTCAAGGGTTAAGGTGCATCCTAAAGTATTTTTCCAAGAATATTTTGTGATGAATTTAGCATCCTGAAATATTTTTTGAGTGTGTCTAGCATCTTGAAGTATTTTTTTAGTACATTCAGTATCATCAAGTATTTTTTTTAGGTGCGTTATTTTTGGTGCATTAAGCACGGAGGCAAAAAAAATACTTGAGACTGTTAGACACACTTAAAAAATATGTTAAGGTACTAGATATATCACAAAATATTTCGGGTTGCTGGAGGTATCTAAGAAAATATTTTGTAGTACATTAACTCTTAATTCAATTATACTGTGAAAATTAAGTGATCTAGATGAAGGTAGAGAAAATTAAGAACGCAGAAGTACATTATATTTTGTTCTGATGTTGCATCAAAAAGTTAGTTTGATATTTAATTTGATCTTAAATATAAAATCTTAATTCTTTTTGTCTCTTATGTTTATCTATTTTTTATAAAGCATTCTTTGTAGTAATAGAATATGTTAAAGGTTTTGTCAAATGATAGTTTTATAAGAAATATTTTAGAAAAGATAAGAATTATTTATTACAAATAATTAATTTAGCAAATTTTCTTAATATACTCAAATTAGTCAATTAACTCTTATATCAAGAATAACAAATAGTATTACTATGGTGAATTTGGAATTCATCTGAGGGCATATTGCTGAATATGATGTTAAGAAATTCATTGCAAGGCACGATCTTTCGTTTTTTCAGTAATGAAACGGGGAAGCACCATTAGAGACAATTAGTTGATATCATTGCAACACGTAATTCTTCACTCTAGGCCAAAATGGTTTGTGTCGTTGTGTTTGCCATAACGAGTTGAGAATGTAATTAAGATTTTTTTTTTCCCTTATTACATGAGAAGCATGGATAGGGATTTGCCCGTCTTCCCCCCGGCCCCTCCCCCCAAAGAAAAAAAAAGAAAAAGTTTTCTATTCTTTTGTTTTATTTTTTTAACGCCATAAAAGAAAATGCCAAGCTAAACCACCATAGACTCATTATCTCTAACCCATTAGTACAGCACATAAAAAAAACAAAGCAAAATAAATATATGCTGAGAAGTGAGAACTAATATGAGAGAGTTTGGAAAACCTCAAAACCACTTAAAAAAAAAATACTCCTCCGCTGCTTAATATAGAATTTAGTTTGAGTTAATGTTAGTTCTATATATAAAATCTATTTCATATGTTTATTAATTTTTTTAAATTAATCTTATTAATATTTTCTCAACAATAATCAAGTTAAAAAAAAGAAGAGAGAGAATTAAAAAAGATGATTACGATATTTTGAAAAAAATATCGTATTAACTAATTTAACTAATGTCATTAATTTACTCAAATTAGTTAATTATGTCTTATATTAAAAGTCAGAAGAGTATTTTCAACTCTTCTCACATACTATACAATCACATACTATACAATCAAAAAGAGCTAATTCAAACACCCCATAATCACCAATCAAAAGAATATTACATATTAGTGTTGAAATTGCAAAAGAATATGAGAAGTCACAGTGCGAAGAAGAAATTTTTTTTTTTAAAAAAAGAAGTGCGATAAGCTCTCAGCTCTGTGCTTGAAATATCTAAGCTTATTCTCTCCCCCACCTCGTTAATTGAGAGCAACTTGAACGAACGTTGATTATATACTTGTAATACTTGAAGGTGAGTTGTATAAAACCTGTGTGATTAGTTTTAACTGAGCTGTCTAGAAATTAAGTGATTTGTATGTAAAATTATTGCAAAATCTACAGCGATTGAACTTTGGGATTCTGCAGTGGGGTGAATCCCTCGAAAATTTCAAGGGTAGATCCGAGAATTGAAGGAGAATAATTTGAGAGCGTTCCACTTCTCTGCTATTAGTCATGTGTGTGTGGGGAAGCAGACGAATTTCGAGGCCTTTTTTTATTGCCGCTCTGATAACGTGTCATTAACTTAACCATAAACACCTTTACGGGATTTCACAGTCAAGCCAAATCATGAGTCTGTTTGGATCGACAATAGAAAAAATAATTTTTTTAATCTAATTTTAAAAAAAAGATTTGATAAAAGTTAGATTGGGTAATATGATTTATATTTAGATGAACTTTTATAAAAATTAGTTTGTAAAATAGAAATATTGTTTGGATTATAGTCAGATAAGTAAGTTTAATTTGTAAAATGATCAAGATAAATATGACTTTTATTAAATAATAAAAAGCAATTAAAAATATGAATTTAAAAAATATAATAATTTTAAATTATTATAATTGGAAGAAGTTCATTTAATGAATAAAAATGTATTTAAACCAAATAATATTAATATAATTAATTGAATGATATACTTTGAACAATTTATATAAATAAAAAATGAAAGATAATATTAAAAATTAAAAATATTATAAAAGTTATGTTAAAAATTATCTCTACTTAAGAGAGTATTAAAAATAAATAACTAAAAACTGATTAGGAAGACAGGGAATATGCAAATAGAAGCATAAGAACAATATAAATATAAGAGTAAAAATATCTTTTAATTTTTAAAAATTGTTTTTATGCAAGTCATAAGTAAGTTTTTTATGCTTTTGTAATGACATTTAAAAAAGTAACTTTTAACCTATAGTCAAAAACTGTGATAACAGTTTTAAAATTTGAAATCTGGTTTATTAAATTTTTATGTTACTTCTGGCCTCAAAACGCTGCAACAAACTGCCACTATATCGATATTCCATTTTGTGCTGGCAAGTAGGTTAGCCCACGGTGCCTGTTTAGCTTTATCTAAAAACTTGAAAAAAACTCTAATGTGGACGGCAAGTCCCTATCAACGTGAGAATTACAAGGCGAATTAAAATGGCAGAAAGTGGGGATGTCGTTTAGAAAGGGACGGCCTGGATTGGCTTGCCAGCATAACGCTTAGATTCACAACTAAATGCCAAGGCCTCCAACCTTTAATAATAAGCGCCTGCGTGGATAATCCTCTGTATAACTTGGAAAAGCTGTTCATCATCACACAACAAAATCCTTTTATGTGCCCATCAAAATCAAAATCAGAATCAGAATCACTGTGTATAACTATTTATCTCCAATTTTATGTTTTTTTTTTTTTGCATGTGATTTTTGAGTGCTTGCTTTAATTTATTATAGCCTGGGCTTCTATACAGGACAAAAACAATGCGGGAAAAAAAAAATACCTACAACAAATACGAAATTTTTTTTTACACTTACAAATAATATAGATTCTGTATTATATTTGGAGATACAAGTCAAGATAAGGTAACCGAAAGTATGTCAAAAGTTAAAGAGCCAATACTGGAAATATTTGAAAAAAAATAATACAAATGAGTGCCAAGGATGTTTGTTTTCCACACGACAACGTTTTACAGCTACATGGCTTCAAATAATTAAAATCAAATATGAGGGACTATTATCTCCAGTGTTGGTGTTTGATGTTTTAAGGTGGCCATATAAAGGGAGCATCCAGAAAACCAAACAGTAAGCCATTGGCCTTACGTCACTGTCTGGTTGTGTGATTGGTTCCTTGTTTGTTCCTCTCACGCTCTCTATCATCAAGGCCCAATAATTTCTTTGACTTGTTCTAATTTCATTAATAAGCTCCCTCCCTTCGTCTTCCTCTTTCTTGTTTATGTTGCTCCTTCTTTCTCTGCTTTTCCTCTAAACCCCATGTTCTTTTTTCTTCTTCCTCTTCCCCTGCTTTCTTTATTGTTACATCACACTCTTTCCCTGTCTGGATCGCTCTTGAATAGTGTTTCTACAGTCTAATTTGAAGTCAGAACTCACGATCAAAGAGAAATGAAGGTGAGACTTTTCACTCTCTGCTTTTTATGAATTTCAGCATCTTCCCTCTCCATTACCCAGCTGTTTCATTTGTCTTCATTAAAATAAATATCACAAGCAGGGCGAGTTTAGTTTCTTTTTGTATCCCCTGATTTTGTTAATTTTGACGTCTATCTGGTATCTACCGCCGCCACTCTGTTTTGTTCTGTCTCTTTCTTGAGTTTTATGTCTCCACCATTTCTTAGCTGATTCATAATACTCAATTAAAATATGTTAGATAGTGCAGTATGCTTTCCTTTTTTATTATATTTCCGTTGATTCTTGAACTCGTTAAAGTCGATATCGATTCTATTGAGCCTGCGTTCCCAGGATCCATCTGTTTTTATTGGGTGCTTTCCGGTATAAGTTCTTATTTTTCGAGTACTATCTGCAGAAAGTGGTGCTGAAGTTGGATTTGCACGATGACAAAGCGAAGCAGAAAGCCATGAAAATGGTTTCTAGCCTTATAGGTACTCCTTTGATTAGCTTTTCTTTGGTTTTTCTCAGTCAACAATCAATTTTACCCAAAGAAGGGACTTTGTCCATAGTGATCATAGAGTTACAACTAGTGTGAAATTGTGCGTCAGGTATAGACTCCATAGCGATGGACATGAAGGAGAAGAAACTGACAGTGGTAGGGGACATAGACCCAGTGGAAGTGGCGCGCAAACTGAGGAAAGTTTGGCGCACAGAGATATTGACAGTGGGGCCGGCAAAAGAGCCGGAGAAGAAGAAAGAAGAAGGCAAGAAGGATGATGGGAAGAATAAGAAGGAAGATGACAAGAAGAAAGATCCCAATGAACAGGCCGCTGAGCTCGCCAGGCTCTACAGAGCCCATTATCCCTACATGACCGCTTACTATCCGGCTCACAGTGCTGAAGAGGATCCCAATGCTTGCGTTATTTCTTAATCTTCTGCATGTTTTCACTTTTAGTTTCTTGCCTCTGTTTATTACATACATATATATATATATGGTGAATAGTAAGTAGTGCTTGAGAGTTGAGATGAGGCAGGGTAGCATATTTGCAGTGTATCTCTGTATCTTGGGAGTATTCACTCGAACTTCAAATTGTGGCCCTGAGGATTAATGTCTCCCTTAAATAATGGACGTTATCTTGATATATGGTAACAAGTTTGGGAGAGAGATGAAAGAGGCACATGAAATTTAAAAGGAAAAAAAATCTGATTTTTGGGTTATACAAGTATATGGATACAGAGAATCTGATTTTTTTTTGGGAAAAATATTGTAATTAATTTGATTATTACAATTGAAGAGTATTAATCCATGGCAGCATGATTAGTACCTTGTATTCTTATAATCATTTTTTTTATTTGAAGTACGAAAAGCACACAACAGATAATTTAATTATTCATAATCAAAATCATAAGAATAATATTGAATGGGTGACGGTGTTGTACGTATTGTTAATTAATTGTGAACTCTTGACGTCTAGAAAGGTCTGCGCCATCGTAAGTTATGCCATTAGGATGACAAGTTGAGTAGTTGCTTCGTATTTTATTTAGGACTGCGTCCAAATCCGTTTGAGCCCACACGTTGACTATTATTATTATTACTACTCTTCCGGTTCTTAATATAAGACTCATTTAACAAATTTGACTAGATTAAGGAAGTTAGGTAAGTTGGTTAATTATAAGAAAAGTGATATATTTTTTCTAAAACACCATAATCATCTTTGTTAATACCCCCTCTCCCTTTTCTACTTAATTATGGTTGAGAGAGTATCTATAGGGGTAATTTAGAGAAAATTGATAAATATGAGAAATGGGTCTTATATTTAGGACCAAAACCAACTCAAGAATTGGGTGTTATATTAAGGACCGGAGGAGTATTATTTTGGTGAGGGAAATTATGAAACTTGTGGATTAGGAGGGTTGTCCCAACAATACTATCAACTTTATTAAATTCACTAGCTAATCTCATCGTCATCATTCCAATGATTTTGTAGGAATTCAAATGAATGTTATTAAAAGTGATATTATTATCATAAGTAATTTTGTATATGGTATCTTAGTTAAAAGTATAATACTCCTTTAGTTCTAAATACAAGACCCATTTCATAATGAAAATTATACTATGAAAAAGATCTTATATTTAGGACCGGAGGAGTATTACATCCCAACTAGATTGGAAGCAGCCTCTCTTATTTATTCACAGCAGAATGCTCAATTTTGGGATGAAAAGCGGCGAAACTTTAAAACCAATCTTTTTTTAAAAAGAAAAAATTCATGGTATGATTTTTCTAAGACTGATTCAAAGAAAGTTTGAATGGGTAAAGTAGTAGGTAATAGTGGGCGGGTAAAACAGACGAATCAAATCCAAATATGTGCAAATTATAATTGCCATGAGCAGTAAGTCTTGCGTACAGCAAGACTCTTGACTTGTACTGCGTAGCTGCCAATAAAACATTACCATTAGGGGCTTACATATTAAAAAAAGGTGAAATTCTAATATTGTAAGGTGCAAATCAAGAACATTATTACCTTTTACCGTTCCTTTGACCCTTTCAATGTGAACGAGTCCATTTTGATTGATCAAAAATTCCGAAATCCTAACAAACAAAAAAAATTGGTGAAAAGTTCATGATAAGAAATTTAATTGCAGTATCTATAAATCTAGGCTTTTAACCGATGCGGGTTTTTTTAAAAATGTGTATAACATATTTTTTGTTATGTGCAAATGTTTTCTGTTTCTTATAGGTTTAAAGATATGTTTACACAATGTTGCATTTGGATTTTTGAACCCTTTCCGTAATTAATTTTCTAATCAAGGATTTTTTACCAAATTTTCGAATTCTGTATCTATCAATTTTATGTCCCATTAAAACTACGAAGTACTCCTCCGGTCCTTAATATAAAATGTATTTAACTAATTTGATTAGATTAAGGAAGGTAAATAAGTTAGTTAATAATAAGAAATATGATATATTTTTTCTAAAATACCATAATTCTCTTTCTTAATATCCTTCCTCCCTCACTTATTTAATTATGGTTGAGGGAGTATTCGTAAGAATAGTATAGGAAAAATTGATAACTATGAGAAATAGATCTTATATTTAAGACCAAAATTAACTTGACAATTAAATCATATATGAAGGACCGGAGGAGTAAAATATCCTAATATGTGCTGGTCAAAAAAGAAATCCTTATATGTATGTTTTTTTTTTTTTGAAAAATTCCTTGTTGCGTGTGTGGAGGGTTGAAGTTGGCAAACTGCTTATGCCAGAACAAACTGATTAGTTTTGAGGGCCAAAATAAGAGAGGCGTTGGAGGGGATCCAATCATTTTATATGATGGCTTTTACTTTTAGAGTTGCAGATGAAGATTATCACAGACAAGTCCAGCCATATTCCAAAATATTGTAGTGCCTAACAGATATATGTGTGTGTATGTATGCATGTCGCCAATTATACGCCTCTTTTTCCTTTTTGTTTTATTTTTTTCGCTCACAGATAAATAAATAAATAAGCGTGTCACCATCTAGTGATTATGATGAAATGATTTCATCAATAATATATTAATATGCCATCCGTATTATATATTCGATCGCCTAAAAAGTTGATATTATATTATGATTGGTGATGTCAGATATGATATCTTAACTTTTGTCTTCTTTCACTAGTTTAATTAGCAGCTCGCAGTAAAAATAAACCCACTTGCAAAGCGAAGCCGTTTAAAAGGTGTTTGGTAGCAATTAAAAACACTTAAAAAAGAATTTCATGCACACTGAAATAAAATTTTTCTTACATATTTATCTTATCTTGTATATCCTAAAATTACTTTTGAAACTGTGATTTTATTTTTACCTAAATACTTTTTTTATTATTTTATTTCTCATAGTTTTGACAAAATTTGAATTACATCGTTCGAGGTTCCACCTTTTTTTAGCATCCTTCTCTTTTTTTTTTTTTTTTTTTTTAGTGCAGGTTCTTCTGTTAAAACTACACTCGACTCCATGACATGGCATCGAAACGAAAAGGCTGCATGGGGACTTGCTTTCTCTTCCTTCCCTGCAAAAGCTTGTGGCTCTCTCTCATCCCTCAGGGCCAACCACACCAGTCTGACGCCGACGAGGAGAAGAAAGGTCTCTTTCTTCTATGCTGATGGGGATTTAGGATAAAGTCATGTGAATAATGGGGTTTGGCAGTGGTCATCGGAGATTCCAGTGATGTTCCTTACTTCCTTTTCCGGCGGCGGTGGCAGTTGAGTTTGTCCCAACCATGGCAACTTTGCAAGAGGAAATCCACTTAATATGACAAATTTCATTATATGCGGCTGCATATTCTTTTCGAAAAAATTTAATGAAGACTACCTTAATTTTTTATTTAAAAAATTTGCTTAACATATAATACATCGTTTTTAGAAGCTTCTGGTAATCATCATGAGCCTCTCATATTGCCATTGGAGTATTTAATTCAGATTCAGGCTTAGCCACAAAATAAGGCATATATTTGAAATAATGGTATATGTGTGGATATATATATATATATATGTATGTATATATATAAACACATTCCTACAGCACGATGATATTAAAGGCATTTTAACCACTTAGATCTCGAGCCGATCCAGCAGCAGCACATCAGATGTGGAGATGTTTGTTTCTTTCTTTCTTTTTTTTCAACTTCTTCAATGACTGGTTTTGAATGTTACTCCTTAGGTTCTAAATACAAGACCCTTTTCATAATGTAATTTATACTACGAAAAAAGTCTTATATTTAGAACACGTGTCTCTAATGAAAGAGATAAAGAATAGGCAAGCTTAGTTGCCACCGCGGAAACTGATGCTGATGGAGAGGTAAATGCAGTTTAAAGAGTCTTTTCTTCTTCTCGTCAATGTCAGACTGGTGCGGTGGCCGGAGAGCCATAGGCTTTTACAGGAAAGAAAGAGAAAGCAAGTCCAAACTCCAGAGTGGCATTTTCAATGCCGTGTCACGCCATATTAACGGAGTTGAGAGCAGTTTTAACGTAAGGACTTGCCCATTTAATGTGATATATGGATCCCATAAAGGGGGGGGGGGAAACTAGAGGGATCTGATTCAAAATCTGTTAAAATAAGTACTGTAATACTAATTTTTCTTAACTGAAAAAGCTGAGGATATATATATATATATATATATATGCCGAATGATGTTATTTTTTTAATTTGTTTTTGAAGCAATATTATCTAACTAATCTGTGGTTGTTTAAAGTAAGTCATTTGCTATAGTGCATCATGCTTATCCTTAGATTTGGTTATATGAACGACAATGGGTAATTGTCCGAAGATCAAACGACAAAAGTGATTGCTTCACTAACAAGAAAGCAGGATCAGCTCCCAATGAAACAGTTTTATGTTCTTCACTTCTTTGTTATTTGTTATAAAATCCCAAATTCCGAATGTACGTAAGAGCCTTTCCCCCACCGCTTCCTCATATTTGGTATGCGTGAACAAAGAAGGGAGAAATTTCTTATCATAATATATTTATTACACTTTTTTTTTTTGAAAAAATTTATTATTTTTTTCAAGAAATTGATGTTTCCTTCAAATAAAACAAGTAGACTTTCTTCATTGATAAAGGCAAGCAGACTTCGTTCATAATGCAAAAAATAATTTGCCAATTTCGTTTTTAGTAATTAGAAAAATTCTAGAAAAAGAACCCTAAAATTATCATTTCCCAATTTGGGCACATAAGAGTTAAATACGACAGAGAAGGAAATGTTGCCTAATCTGGTATTTTGTAAATATAGTTAAATGACTAAAATATCATTGTATCATATTTGAAAAAAAAGCTATCAAACTTGTCATTGTCAGTATATTTCTTGTTATTTGCTATCAAACACTTGTCATTGCTAGTTCAAAACTTATTCATAAACTTTTTGATATAAGAGTGTTTTAGTCATTTAACTATATCTACAAAATACCAGATCAAGTATCACTTCAATCTCTGTTATTTTTAACTATTAGGTGCCTGATTTGGAATATTATATTTTTCAACCTCTTTATTTGTCATTTTTCCTAAGTAAGTATGTAGTATTTTTGGCTATTTTGCTCACTCATGATATAGGAAAAAACAAAGAAAAATTGGATAAAAGTTTCGAAT